CCATATTCGACCGGAACCTCCGACCTCTTGCGCAGAGTGAAGTCAGCTTCCAAGCCATTATTACCCCTGAAGATGTAGAGGACTTAGAAGCGAGCCTTAAAAATCTTTCTAAGCTTATCTATATCCCCGAAGATCATATTGAAGAAGCCTTAAATCGTTCTAAAAAACAACTCTCTCATCTTCCCCTCTCTTTAAAATCAAACCTTTCTTGGGAAGAACTCAGCCGCTTAAAAGTTCATACGCCTGACCTTCCAGGAGTTTCCGCAGAAGATTCTTTCTTGAGACACTACACAGCCGGGAATGCTGTGGCTCACCTTTTAGGATATGTCCGCAGGCCTTCAGAAACTGACTTAACCGAAAATCCTGAAGATTCCTTTTTAAATCTACCAGGTATTCGGCTAGGTAAAACAGGCATCGAAAAAAAATTAGAGAAAATCCTCCGTGGCGTTTCCGGGGTTGAAGAAATCGAAGTCACAGCACGCCATAAAAAAGTGCGCACCCTCTCTCAACATCTCTCAAAAGAAGGGCAATCTGTCAGGCTTTCTATTGATCTTGAGCTGCAGAAAAAAGCACAGCAGCTTCTAGAACCTTATAAAAGTGGTGCGGCGGTCATCATGGATGTCAAAACAGGCCAAATCCTTTCTTTTTCATCTGAGCCAACCTTTGATAACAATGCTTTTGTTCAAAGACTGCCTCCTGAAATTTGGAAAAGTTTAAGCCAAGATCCTTTAAGCCCCCTTTTGAATAAAGTGACCGCAGGGACCTATGCCCCTGGATCAACTTTTAAAATGGTTGTCACATTAGCTGCTTTAGAGTCAGGGCTTATTACCAAGCATGATTCTGTTACGTGCTTCGGTCACGTCTTCATCAGCAATCATCGCTTTCATTGCCACAAGCGTGGAGGACATGGTCGTATGTCTCTTTTGTCTGCGTTAGCCAAATCTTGCGATATTTACTTTTATGACCTTGCCTTAAAAGTAGGCATTGAACGCATTGCAAAAATGGCAAAAATTTTAGGATTAGGAGAAATAACCGCTCTTCAATTTCCTGGAGAAAAATCAGGACTTATCCCAACAAAATCTTGGAAAAAAGAACGCTATAATAAACCTTGGCTTATTGGTGAAACTGTCTTAGCCAGTATTGGTCAAGGGTACTTGCTAACAACCCCTTTACAGCTTGCCACAATGACAGCAAGAATTGCTTCTGGAAAAATGATCTCTCCCTCCCTTCTTTTTGATCCATCGACAACTGATCCTGATCCTCTACCAATTTCAGAAAAAAACCTTCAACTTATACGCGATGGCATGAGAGACGTTGTCTGGCACCCTTTTGGGACCGCCAAAAGTGTTCGTTCTTCTGATCTAAAAATTGCTGGAAAAACAGGAACGGCCCAAGTCCGCCGAATTAAAGAAAGAGAAAGGAAGCAAGGCGTTAAACGCAACCAAGATCTCGACTGGAAATACAGAGATCATGCCCTTTTTGTTGGGTTTGCCCCTGTTGAGGCACCTCGTTATGCCACAGCTGTCGTCATCGAACACGGTGGTAGTGGCA